TAAGGTTACTACTGCATCTTTTTGAGAAAATAAAATGCAGCGATTGATATATAGTTTATTTATAATTAAAACAATGTCATTATTGTTTATTTAATCCTAACAAATAAGTTATTGTTAAAAACTAACCAAAATTAAAAATAATTTGCTTATAATTTCCACACAGGAGAGACTTGGCATTGTTTCCAAACAAAAGGAAATATATCGGTATCGGCCAAAATTAGTTGAAAAATATCGGCATATCGGATATCGGCAAAAATCTAATATCGTGCATCCCTAAAATATGTTTTGTGTTACTACTTGTTACACATCCAAAAAGACTGTGTATCATTGATGTACAGTAATGATGAGGTCTGGTGTGCGCAGTCTGAAGTTGACCTGTGTGGCCAGAATCTGTTTGGTCTGACTGAGAGCGCCCTGGTCCATCAGAGGGTTTATGTACTCCTTATACTCAGAGTCCAACAAATAGTCTTTGCTGAAGAGAGACAAGGGAACATGGCATTAATGACAATGATAAAACCATTATGAGAAATGTTTGTTGGTCATTTTGCATAGTGCCTGTTCCGATTTAAAACAACAGTTGTATTGGACTTACATTAGTTGTAACTAACTTACATTTTTAACATACATTTTTCACTACTGGTTTTCCAGTCTCACTATTTGCTCCAAGCACATAAGAGTGACATATTAATCACCATTAATTTGTTTATTTTTTTTTGCATATGTAAAAAAAGAAGACGAAAAAAAACGTTTTCTCAACACATCTTTTTCAATTCTGCAATATGAATATCTATTCACCATCAACCTTGCGTTCATTCATCCATCATTGCCATCATTTCTAATCATAATGCAAGCAACTAAATTTTGGGCCACTGACTTCAAAAATGAATGCAAATTCAACCAATTCTTCAAACATTATATGCAATAGCTTGATTGTTTTGTACATTTTTCCCTCTAAAAACCCCCCTAAGTTTATGGAAAACAGATGCAACATAAGCTAATGAATATCCATGAATCCCAGGCCTCATCATCAAGTGATTTTTGACAAATGCAGCTACTAATTCAGACATTTTGGGACATAATAACCATAAAAAAAGTCTCTGGTGGGACTGTTTAATAGTCAAACTCCACTCACTCTTTTGCGGTTTGAGGTCGACAGGAATCCAGTCCTTTTTCAAGGTGACTTTTAGCACTCCAGTGTAGTACATGACCATCACCTCATACAACAGACTGGCCCGTGCGCTCTTATGACCTATTGTTCTTCAAGACGGTGGAGAGTTACAAGGTCCATGACGATCTCAATGTTCACGACATTGTCGGTGGGGAACAGATACAAAGTCTGCAATTTTAGGACAGTACTAAATGCAGTTTACAACTGACTTGTGTGAATTTTGAAATGTTATATCAATAAATATTAAATAAGCATCAAATTAAATGCACAAATTACATAAAATTAAATAGTCAACAGTCCATGGCCCTGCAGAACGGTTATGGTTTCAAATAACCTTACTGCAATTACAAATAAAAACTGATCAGGAAAATAGTCAACAATGAATTTCATTGTGAAAAATGTAAAGCAAATTGAAATGGAAAGCAACTTCTTTTTTTTCTTTTTTGCAGAAAGCAAGAAATCTGAAGTTTCTATTTTACAAGCATGAGGTAAATTCTGTCATGTTTATTATACAATTAAAAATAACTGTTTTTCAAGACCAAGAATCATCATTATTGTCACTGCCCCCAAAAGTGCCTAATCCAGGTTCACTGACCTTTCATCACTAGTGTATTCATACATTTATATTTGTCGTATAGCTTTCAATTTGCACATTGTTTGAAGATGAGAAATAAAGTTTTCCTCAAAATGCAAGCAAGAAATAAATGGCATATAATCAAACTAGCATTAATAGTTATTAAAAGACATACTTTTGCACACAGATGACAAAGAACAATAAAAAGATGACTTTAAAACTGTCTTTCTTGTAACATTGACATGGCAGACATATAATGAAAATCTACAAAGATTAAAGGAAGAAAATTACCTGTTGGAATAAAAACATCGTCGTCGTCGTCGTCGTCATCAGCTCTGGTTTCTCTTTTCATCTCTTTTCATTTCTCTTCACTGAGCACGTCTTAAGTGGCGTCTGCTCTTCTTCAGCATTACAGTCTGAACCCGGAGACTCTGTGAAGATTTGATCGGTGGCTCCATGACCGTCATACACACCCTCTTAAGCATCAGTGTAAAAGAGTAAACTGAGGCTGAGCCCTGTGTTTCTGGATCTCTGTTCAAAGAGCTGATCTCTGTCGCTCCAGACTGAATCCGTCCCATCTGTCACACACACACTGAAACCTTTTCCATCTCCTAAGAAACACTGAACTACAGTGACTTTAAATTTATATAACGACTGCCGTCCCTATTAAAGAAAATATTTTAAAGAATAAAAACTGCTGCTGGCAGGCAAAAATTAAGAAACAATTTTTTGATATGTCAAAATAGCAAAACATACCATTGAGCCATGCTTAGTATGTCTGACAGGAATGCATGGCACGTATAGTAGCTCTGGGTAATACTGACACTAAATCACATTTGGTGTACATATAAACATTGCAGTCTGAATCTGCAATCACATTATATTTATTTTGACTAAAACAAATCTGTGCATCTGCTGATGTTTAATTTTAAGGACATTTATGTTCATTTTTATTCATTAAACATGCATGAACTCTATATCAAAAAATATCAGCTGCTGCTGCTGCATTCGTTTACAGCAGAGCTTAAAATACAAAATGGGCATTATTGCCACCTATTGGGTGTATGGCCCACAAACACAACACCCTTCATCTCTGCAATAGCTTTCGAAGCCTTGTTGGAAAGCTTCGAAACCTTCTCGAATCATTTGGGTTCAGAGCGCGTTTCAGACTGACAATCGCTGTGTTCTAAATGCCATACTATCATACTACTCTTACTTTTTCTGCAGTATCCTGTATGTATACTGTGCACAGTATGCAAATTTTCTGTGTGCATGGAATACTCGAAGTGAAACGCGAAGTGATTGACGCGATCGACCCGAGTTCGAATCCACCTTTTGCCAAACTTGTTCTTCTTTTCCCATCACATATCAGATCGGAAAGGCATTTATATTCAATAAAAATAAAGGAAATATTTGAAAAGTGGAAATAAAACACCTCATTAATAATACAGTGTTATTGTGTATGGTTAGCCATAGGTGTAGGAAGGGCTTATCCATTTAATAATACTAATAAATATGAATTTACAATCAGTGTTATTACATACTGTTTTATAATGTACTACAGTACTTAAGTACAAATATCTGCCACCTAACTACTATTTACACATTGCTAAAGAAAATACTGCTATTTAAGTGTAAACAAAATGTATCATTATTTGCACTTAGTGTAACTAGGATATATCACTTTTTCCACTTAGTGTAACTGCCAAAAATAAAATAATGGGCCTATCATTGTTCAGTTAAAGATAGCTCAGTGTTGATTCAGTTCTGTTCAGTATGTAAAGTTAATTAATTATGAAATTAGTTCAATTGGGCAATATATCATTATTTAGAATGAAGCCTTATTAACACGTCTTTGTAAAAATAACAATTGGTTAAATTGGTTCAATTGATTCAAAGCTTCGAAGAGGTTCGTTTCTCTTATCACTACTGTATCCACAAGCCCCACAGCATCCAGAGCTAAGAAAGAGACAGTCAGTCAGAGTCAGAGTCCCAGATAGCACACGCACATCTGCAAGATGTCTGTTAAAGATCACTTCATCTGGAAAGCATCTGCTGTGTACAAACAACTGATAGACATCTCTAAGATGTCAGTTTTACATACATTCTAAATCATAAACATCTTAAAGGGACAGTTCACTCAAAAATGAAAATGCTGTCATTAATTACTCACCCTCATGTCGTTCCAAACCTGTAAGACCTCCGTTCATCTTCGGAACACAAATTAAGATATGTTTGATGAAATCCGAGAGCTTTCTGACCCTGCATAGACTGCAAGGGAACTATCAAGTTCAAGGCCCAGAACATCGTTAAAATGGTCCATGCGACATCAGTGGTTCAACCACATTTGTCGTGGTGCTCTCGATAATGGTGGTAGATGATAACTCGGGGGAGAAGAATTGTTGAATAAAGTTATTTTTATTTTTATGAGCACAAAAGTATGCCAGATAGCACACGTATGTCTGCAAGATGTCTATTAAAGATCGCTTCATCTGGAAAGCAGATTCTCCTCCGATGGAACGTCAAAATAACAGCTGAAATTTAAATGGCAGACATTTGCGCTTCATTGTCGTGACATGTACATTGAATAAAACTAACATATATTTTTATTATTATTATATTAAGGTCACATAAACATTGTCTTGGAAACTTTTTACTTTTATGCTTTCATCGTTTATTTGATTTCATTTTTATTTATTTATTTAGGCCTATTTTATTTTTCAAATGCCTATATTGTTTTACACTTGTACGAAACACTTGTGGACATGTTTATTCTGTGCCATATATTTGATTATTTGCATTTGTGACTCATAAAGTTCTATTCATGAAATTAGCATTACCATAAATTATGTATTTGCTACATCTTCCCTTTGCATAATTTACTATGTGCAAGCTACAAAGCCAACTATTTACAAAGTGATTATTTGTACATTAAAACTATAATATTTCTGATATGAACTCAATATTTACCACTTCCCTAGTCAAAAAAGGAAGTAAACAACCAACACAACACTATTTACACATTAAAGGTGCAGTAAACAATTTCTGAGAAACACTGTCGATATTTGAAATCAACACACAAACAAACCCAGACAGATACGATATAACTAAAACATGAAGGATGTTTATTGTTGACATACATCAGTTTCATATGAAAGTACTTCATTGTTTTTAACTCTAAATGACCATTTCATCTTGAAGATATTCTTATATCTTCAAGACAACTGAGAGCATTAGAAAGCTTTACAATGACAGTGCTTTTTTACTTTGGTTTGACCACAATATCAGCGACTCCGTGCACTTGAGTGAGCAGACGGCAGTCCATCGATGCCAGGAGCTTTTGAGAGCCGGCGACGGTGGGAACAAACTTCTCCGTCAGTGTAACCATCGCAAGCTTATCCACATCACTGAGAGACACATATAGATTATAAACTTTCTGGAAGATTTCCACTCTTTAAATAGAGTTTATCATATTTAATGTAGTACAGCTCATACACATGAAGCAAATTTAAAGTGCATGAACATGTCGCACCTCAGAATGCTCTTAAATACTGAAAGTCTTACCCATATGCGATCTTCCTAATGCTCTGCATTCCCAATCCCTCTATACGGAACAAAACGTTCCTCAACACTTGTGACAGCGGGTTCTGGAACGTGATTTTGACTGTCAACTCTTTACCCACCACAGCATCCCCTAGAGCCTGAAACAGTAAAAACACAATCAATGGACATAGATGTTTTAAATTAGGGACCGTTAATTCTCAAATCTCGTGTGCAATTCAAATATTGCACATTTAGATGCATTGCACCAGGTTGAGCATCACTGTGCAAAACCAAGAATGAGATTTGATAGTAAGAAAGATGTAAAAGTGTTGTGCTTGTTAAACGTCCCGAATAGACTAGTGGATGACTGACGTACAGTGATGATGAGGTCTGGTGTGCGCAGTCTGAAGTTGAACTGTGTGGCCAGAATCTGTCGGGTCTCATTGACTCGTCCGGTGACCGCGAGCATCAGAGCGCCCTGGTCCACCAGATGTTTCATGTACTCCTTATACAGCAAAGTCCAAGGAATAGTCTTGGCTGTAGGGAGACAAGGGAACATGGCATTAATGACAGTGATAAAACAATTATATTTAAATATTTCATGGTCATTGTGCACAGTACTCCAGTCTTCTTTTGCTTGCAGCTCGCTGAACACCATCACCAACACCAACTGCAAGCAGCTCTCGTCATTAAGTGATTTTCGACAAATGCAGCTGCTAATTAACAGCTCCACTCACTCTCTTGCGGTTTGAGGGTGACAGGAATCCGGTCCTTCTTCACAGTGGATTTCAGCACTCCAGTGTAGTACATGACCATCACCTCATATAGAAGACTGGCAGTGCGCTGATTTGAACTTTTGTTCTTCAGGATGATGGAGAGTTTGGCGTCTCCACCGATACAAGGCCCTGTCCCATCCATGACGATCTCAACACTCACGTCGTTGCCGGTGGGGGACGGATACAAAGTCGGTTTGGAGCCGAAGCGACTGGCCCTTTCCACAGCAATGCGCTCCTCCTCTGAACCTGACGGACATGATCAGACAGTAAAGAGGAGTGTGAGGTTTGGAGTATTAACTCCAACCCTATTATTCCAAACCCTAGCGTGTTGCTGACATAAGAATCCAACTCAAAGTTATCAATATAAATTGCTGCTTCCAATGTTTTCCAATTTTCAGTTTCCTACCCTTATGAAAATTAACCATGGTTTTATTATAGTAAAAGTGTAGTAACCATGTTTTTTGGTGCACTGATTACCATTGGTATAACCACAGTTTTATTACAAATACCATGGTTAAACTATGGTTAATTTGTGGTTACCATGTGGGGAAGTCGTGGCCTAATGGTTAGAGAGTCGGACTCGTAACCCAAAGGTTGCAGGTTCGAGTCTCGTGCCGGCAGGGATTGTAGGTGGGGGGAGTGAGTGCTCTCTTCCACCTTCAATACCACGACTGAGGTGCCCTTGAGCAAGGCACTGAACCCCCCAGCTGCTCCCCGGACGCCGCAGCATAAATGGCTGGCCACTGCTCCGGGTGTGTGTTCACTGCTGTGTGTG